ATTTTACTCTATTAAAATCAGGGATGGGAAGTAACTCGTTACTTGTAACGAAGTTACAGTTAGAGTTACTTTTTTTCAGTAACTGTAACTTAACTTCGTTACTTTCTTTCCATCTGTAATTATAATTTAACTTAGTTACATCTTTTAAGTAACTAGTAACTAATTTAATAGTTACTTTCATAGTTATTTTATATATTTTAAACTTATTTGTCCACGGTAGTGTCCACTTGGCGCTACAAATACTTCGAAACATTTGATTAATCAGATGAAAGAAATTTAATTAAAGCGTTCAATGAACTCTTGTACCTGTTTGGTCTATATTTTGAGATCTAATGGAATCTGCCAATCAAATACAAGAGCGCTCAATGAACGGTTGTAGACCATTTTGGATTAGTGCTGGAATTTATTTGCAACTTTTAGCCGAATAGAAAAAGAATTTTTTTTTACAAAAAACATTATATATGTGTGCTATTTCATATTCATATTCATATTCATATGTGTTTATATTACTTTAACGAAAAACGTCTTTGCCATATAATTTTTTTATCTTTTTGAATAAAATTGGATAACATGTAAATTTAAGCCAGTCTTTTTCTTTTAATTGTCCTAGGCATTACTCTGATGACCCCGTGTATTATCCTTGTTTAATATTAGGTAAAAAACAAAGGTAAAACGATACATGAAGGACAGTTGGATAACGTTTCTGAATACAGTCTTAATGATATCGATACTACCAATAAAAATTCCGATGAAAAAAGTAACTTAAAAGTAACTTAAAGTTACTTTTTCAGTAACTGTAACTGTAACGAATTACTTTTCAGAGTCAATAACTCTTGTAACGGTAATTAATTACTTTTACAAAGTAACTTTCCCATCCCTGATTAAAATAAACTTAGGCATCAAAAATAGCTTTAACCGAATAGATAGCCTTCCTTGTTTATTTGAATAAACTTACAATTAGTATTCATTCAATTTTATACGACCTTAAGTAATTTTGAGTTCTTGAAATTTATTTAGCCCTTAAAATTAATTAGTGCTTTTAATTAACATAAATTAAATGGATCCAGCATCAGTAACTGCGTTTTTTTTATAAGATCATTTTCGAAGGGATAAGTTATATTGTATCGTACATGTTTCTCGAATTCTTGAATATCTTTTAAATTTTATAAGTAGAACTAAGAAACGAGAACTTGAAATAACAGAATAATACATACTGTATTTAAATATTAAGTACTTATTTCAAGTATTTAAAACGTTTATATAGCCATAAATCTATCATAAGTTTATTACAAACTTTATAGTATTCTTTGAAAGAAAATAGATTTGTGTTTTGAATACACATAATGACAAATTTTTCTAAAATTTATATATTAAATGTATTAAATATATTTTAAGACTATTATCAAGAAAATATTCTCTGTTAAAAATAATTGTTATTTACAAGAAAAAATTAAATAATCGCTTTTCTTAACAATAGAATAATATTTTTCTGTTCGAACCTGAAATTGCTTATAAATTCAAATAGTATTTCAGCATATGACACATTTGATTTTAGTTTTAAAATATTCATCGATCATTGTGTATTTTAATAATAAGTAGATGATAATTTAAATAATCGAACCTTGATATCTTTTAAATGGAATTATTTAACTCAAATATTTCTAGTGTTTATAAAACACACATTCTCTAAATATCAAATTTAAATTTTTGTAATTCTGATTAACTCATTGTAAAACCATATCTTTATACATACGATATATGTATATATATAATTTATATACATATATATATATATTCATGTATATAACTTAAGCAGAACAAAAAGTCATTATGATCAAAATGGCGTCAAAATGGCTCCAAAATGATTATTAAAAGTCACTTCACAATTCATTTTAATTTCATTTTGACTTCATTTTATCGTGACCTGTTGTTCTGCTTGGAAACGTATTATGCGCAACTAAAGGAAGATAAAACACTAATATTCACTAATACAGTAACATTTACCATTGTTATTCTTTTTGAACTCAGTTTCTTCAGCTTGTAAATAATGTGTATTGTAAGTCTGATGTGAAATCGCAACCGCGTTATTTCCTTTTAATAGTTTTATTATTATAATCATGTTATTCTACCAATACTTTTTTCAGTTCTTTCATTTATCCATGAACAAACAAGTTTACTAAACCACCTATCTTGATAAATATGTTAACATTTACAGCAAATATCTTCAGCAAAATATTTTATTTTATGATTTAAAGATGTCTATTGTAATATACTAAATTTTGACAGGAATTATAGATTTAAAGACTTTAGAAATCATGCGCTATATATCTTTTCTAGAAAAACATATAAGAACAAAAATCGCTATTAATTTTAAAAGAGCCAAACGATAAAAATTTATTAAAAAATAAATTCTTATACATCGTTAGATATCAAAGGAGTAATGGTAACCTAATTCTTTGGGTCAAATAATATTTTATTATTTTTAACCTTCATGTGTATCAAAATGTAAATCAATTCATTTATATGATTGCATTGTTTAGTTTCAAAATAAACAACATTTATATTAATATATGCACTTAGTAAACAATAAACTGAATGTAGGTCAAATTAATATATTTTCTTGAATTTAAATTGATTAGCTCCATTGTTTTAGTTAAATTATAAGTATAATATAATAATAATTATATGAACCGACATATATTTCAAGTAAAAGCAATGGCGACGTATAAAAATGACTAAAAATGATTCAGATTGAATACAATTAGATGTTATAAATTTAACAATGTAATAATATGTAGAATTATCAATTGAATAAATTTTTTCTAGTGACCCAATTAATCGAACTATTTTCAGAATTAAAATATTTCTACTAAAATACGACGCAGTTCGATTGATACTTAATCAGGAATCACTAATTATAAAAAAAAGATTCTACCGTTCTACCGTCCGCTTCGCTCTTTCTAAGCAAATAACCACCACAGGGGTTATACGACCTTACGGCTTCTGGCCTCGTGAGAGCTGCGAGACGTTTTATCGAAGGCAGAGATACGGCTAACCCAATTAAAATGTTTAATCGACGTCCTCCCTTCCCTTGCTTATCGTGCATGTCACCACAATAATATGATGACAAATTGAATCGACGCAGCACAGGCGTAACGGAAGAGAGTAAGATAGATTTCACGAAATCAACAGATAATGATACCGTACATATGTTTATATCATCGACAGCTGCTCCCCACGTGACACACGTATACGGATGTCTCTTTAACAGCTGAATAATTATCAATTCTCTTTATTTTATTTTATTCTGTCGGATAGATAATCGGTGTGGTCGAAGTCAAACGTCGAACTCGCGCGACAGCAACATTCAAATCACCGTGTATTGATCATACAGTAATTATGAACAAATATAGGGGGACTTGAAAAAAAAACTGTCAAAGAGAAGCGTCAGTCAAATGAAGAGGAATTCAATAAATCCAGAAAACGATACATTCTCTCGCAGAGGCGCATTTTTTTTTTAAACTCACGTTGTCGAAGCTTGAAGCGCTTTTGGAGTGATTTTAAAAAATTCTTTATATTTATGTATATATACACGGTGTTTCTCTCTTATAACATGTGGGCATAATTTTAGAAATAAATAACAAAATAAAAAATGACAAAAAATTTATACAAACATACGTACTATCTAACCTTATATTTCCGAATTATTTATAAATTTCGTGATTCATTAATTCTCGTTATAAACCGACCTGGCATAGCATCTTGACACATTTCTGTCTTTAATTAATAGTAAACATTTTAAATTAAATTGATAATAAATCTAGACAGAATCAGCTACGCCAATAAATTCACATATTGAACAAGTGTTTATTATGGATTTTTTATGTTACTTTTATATCCTGAATTAATTTCTGAAATTATGCCCACATAAAACATCCTGTATATATGGTGACCTACGTAAAATATGACAAGTCAATAATTCAAAAAATATGGAAGATGCGGAAAAACGTTTAAAAATGGAACAGTTTCGAGGGACGTATTTTGGCCACGTTATTTTTTCTAGGTAGAGGCGCCAAAAAGATATGAAAGCCATCATTTTTTTAAATGGAAATGATTTTTTTACATAAAATAATTCCTTAATTATTCTATACATAAAAGTATTAAGATAGAGATATAAAGAACTTATAGTTTACGAAATATTTTATACTTTATTCTAGCACATAATGACATGAAATGTTAATTATCACGTAAACTATTAATTTTTTAATAATCGTAAAAATTTTTTTAATACTTTTTTGAATAAAATAATGAGATGAATCAATTAATGTAAAAAAAAATATATAGTTGCTTTAAAAAAAATGCAATATGTATAATTTTTTAAGTAAGCAACTATGTGTTTTCTCTACACCAATCAATTCATCAATTCCATTTAAAAAGATGAAGATGATCTTTTTTTGCTGCCTCCATCTAGAAAGAAAATAATGTAACTAAAATACATTCCTCTCGAAATTGTTCCACTTCTGTGTAAAACGTTTTTCAGTATCTTCCATATTTTTTGTCATCACACTTTATATGGTTTACCCTATGTATGTCATTTACATTTTTTAATGATTCCTTTGAAGCATCATTAATGCATTTACCAATTCTGTAACATGTCCTGCATAAAATTACGATAAAATTAGTGTGTTAATTATATTATCGAGTATTTTGCGCTTCACTTCATAAACTCGTTATGGTCCAGTTTTCTCTCCTAAAGTAACAATTAATTCCGTTCGATCAGACATTTCGCTACACTAACTAATTTTGAATCTTAATTAGGCAAAATATATGTGCTGTAATACACGGCGCTTTCATCGTTCCCCTAAATGAATATTGTGCAGTTGGAATTTATCGGCTCTACGTACAACCCTCCTAAAACTCACCATGGTAACAAAACTCGCCAGCGAAACTTCAGACACTTCAGTTTCGATTTCGATTCCAGGCTGAAAAGTTCGGATAGATTCACGCTTTCGGTCTCACACGTGTAATCTCGCCACCGTAAAAAGAAACCACACTTCTTAGATTTTACCTCAAAAAATATCCAAAATGTTTAAGTTTCAACACCGCGCTACTCCGGAGGATCTCAAGCTCGCCGCGTCTATAGAACGCAAACGACAAACCGAAGAAGCGAGGAAATTACGCATCTTTAACCCTCGCATTAGAAAAATTGGGGTAGGAATTCGATCCCAATTTTATCAACAATTCTACCATTTTATTTCAATCGAATCTACTTTAATTTTTAATTTTATCAACTTGCACCTTTCTGATTAATTAAGAAATTACTTTGTAGTAATATATATTAACATTATTATAATCCATTCTCGACCAAATTAATTTTATTTTGTATATTTTGCTGCTTCTCTTTAATTTGTAAATTAAAATAGAAATTCAGTCCCGTGATTATTCTGTTACGTTTAGTGTTAGTATAGTGAATTCGATCACTTGCATTATAATAGATTAGTGCATACTAAAAGCTGCTATACATGAAATTAGCAAAATTAAATATAAAAGCATACAAATGTTTTAAAATTTAAACTATTAAACTCAATAATGATACTGTCATATTTAACAGAATATACATATACTATCGTCAAAGCTGATTATATTATGTCACTGCGTATTTAAATATTTTATATATAAAAATTCTCAGTTGAAAAATTATGTTAAAAATATGTTTCATATGTCTCAAACAGTCCACTTAATTTTTTCTGTTAATGTGACACGAAATGAATATGTTAAAAATTAACAAAAATAATATGCGAATAAATGAACACATTGACATTTATAAATAAGCTGTTAAAGCAAATTTTTTCAGTAAAATTAACATTTATTTTATTTGTTTATCTTAGAATTTACGTTTTAAAATTTATTATTTTTATGTTATTTATATATATTTATTTACTTATAAATTATATTATTTTAAAAATAAGAAATATTGAATATCAATTTGATTCAAAACAAGTAAATAATATAAATTGCTCACTGCAGTTATGTTAAAAATTAACACTCGAATATATTAAAAATTCAATACGAAATTTTTTAAGATGGAAATGAATTGGTTTGAACACAAATGCAAAATTTTGCACTGTATATCAAGCTGTACTCTATCCAATGCGAGTGACCGAATTCACTATTAGACTTTCATATCTTATTCTGATCGCATAGACTTGAATTCTTAATTCAGTCGTTCTATTAACTTACGTCCTCCTAATTAATTAAAAAAAAATACTTCGTACTAATATTTACCATTAAATTTGTTACAACCCACGCTCGATTAAAGTGATTTCGCTTCATACATTTTTCTTGATATCTCGTAAATGCCATAAGCATCATTCGATAGAACGCTACACACGACACTTGATTGATCTAAACGTCTGGGAAGTTGTTCGCTTCAATGCGATAGGATTCGCGCGGATTGTTTCCCTGACATTTGCAGATAGACAAGGAGTTCTTGGATAGGCAAGTCGAGGAGAAGAAGCAGCAGCGCGAGTGGGAACGGGCGAAAGAATGCCAATTGGATGAGGCTCTCATTCGCAGCAGCGAGCACGCCGCGTATTTGGAGAGACGGCAGGAGGAGGTAATTGAGTGCTGTCAATGACGATAATTACACCGGGAATGTCCGCTCGATACTCGAGCTGGTACTCGGTAATTTCGATGTTACACGTGTCGTCGAATTAAAAACTTTATCGATCGAGAGAGCGAAATAACTCAGCTTCTCTGTTTGCAGGAGAGACGAAAGATAAACAAGGAGATCGATTCCTTCCGACGTTTCCATCAGCGAGCGGAGGACCGGCGGGATTACGATTTATATGACCCCGAGGCATTAAAGAAATCGCTTCCTGCGCGCGTGGACGACAATGGCGACGATCCGAACTTGGGAGCAGCGTCCGCTCAGAAGTGCGTAAATAGCCAAGATTAATACCACCAACAATATAGTGGTGCAACCGGGAGAAAAGCTTCGGAGAGGTTTATCTTGGACTTTCCAGAAGAAGATAAAAGAACGTGCTTGCGAAACTCGTTTATTCTGTTTCTTGCACTCTCGATGTTTCGTCTTTCATAACGCTTAGTACAAGCGATGATTTTCCAGTTATTTATTACGATTGATCATTCGTGTCTGGATTCATTTTCAATACTAAATAATGTCTTTATCCTTTCCTTTTTTTAAATTACAGCCTTACAAATACTTTCTAAAAATGTTCAAATATATGTAAGAATTACTTATTAATTTCTGTATAGTTTGAAAAGTGTGCAAAAATTACACTGAAAAGAACTAAATTTTAATAATTATTTGATTGAATAGTTTTAAGTAAGTATTTACTAAATATATAAACATATATTTAGTAAATATATTTATTTAATACAATAACTATCAATTTAATTTAACTATCATTTTTTTTATTCAGTAAATATTTATTTACTGTAAATAAATGTTTGCTTAGTACTATTTAAAGAAATATGCATTAAGATTTAAGTAAATGTACAATGTATTTTAAATGATTCGTACAACTATTGGTCTCTAGCCTTTCTTTTTTTCTTAAATGCATAATTTTACAAATACTTTAACATCTTTAGAAAATACTTGTAAGATTATGTATTAAAAAAAAAGAACAGAAATTATTATTTAGCAATTTAGTTAAATGCTCCTAGCATTAAAAAAAAAAAGAAATATATACGCAGGACATGAATGATCCATCGTGTGTATTAAGAATTAAGAATCTTGTATATAAAATGCCAAAGCTATCGTGGGAAGGATTCATTTCTATATACAGTCTGTAAACCACGGCTATCGTGCGTACGGTATAACAATATTTTTCCTCTCCGTGTTCGTTGTAAAAGATCTTGGCGCGGATAATAATTTACCCCGCAGCCTGCTCACCCTGGCGCAATGGTAATGAGCGTAACGCCGCGGAAGAGAAAAGAAACGATGAAATATTACGGCTGCCGCAGGTTCGAGGGCGAGGATCGCAATCTTCCCGAGCGATTGAAAGCGCAGAAAGAGCAGATGCGTTGGTGGATACAGAGACAAAAGGAGGAACGCGGAGCGGCTGAGAAGGCGCGACGAGACGCCGAGGATGCCTATCAGGAAGTCGTCCTCTCCAGGGACAAGCGCGCGGCGACGTTGGCACGGATGGAGGAGGAATGTCGGCGAAGGTTGAACGAAGCCACAGCGATATTTAATCGCGCTCTGGTACAGGGAATCCTCTCTGTTCGCACCTTTAACCCTTCATTACTCGCGTGGGATGTCTAAGGGGATCCAACCTTATAAATCCACTAAATGTATGAATACTATTTATACATATTATTATATTTAACGTAAATCGTTTTACAATTTTTACAAAATTATTTTCGTTTATTTTTATCTAAAGGACGCGTGAAATAGTATTAATTTTCATTTAATTTTGTAAATTATCAAAGAGAATAATGAAAATTGAAATACAATGTTGGGATGACAGAAACATCCCACGCAAGTAATTATATTTAAAAACCGTGCGAGTAATATAGAGTTAATTTGCAATTGACCGGTGAGTCTCTTGGATTCATTCAACTATAAATCTCTTTGTCAATAATGTCAAACACAATTTAATTTTTTTATGTTATATCTGCAAATTTTCTATTTGCAAAGATTTTTATTTTTTCTCATTTTTTTCATTTCTATTAAAATATATTTACAATTATAGTATCCTTTAGTATTTTTTAGTATTTTTACACGAAAAGAATGATTTTGCTGAAGCACGTAAAAATTAAGCCAGATACAGATTTTAAAATAATTATAGACCATCGAAATAATTATATAGGAATCACTTAAGATTGATGATAATGCTACAAAGAATTTTGACACAATTTAGCATCAGCTTCATCATTCAATATAATTATTTAGATGGTCCAACATAATTATTTTCAGATCTATATCTAGCTAAATTTTTAGATATTTTAACATTGTTTTTTCCATATAGTATATGTCATATATACTAACATATTTTTAAAAATATATTATAGATAATTTAGTATGTTTTTAAAAATTACTTAATATTTATTATTTTTTTTTTGTAATTTTGGCTCTATGAAATTACTTAGTGCTTTTTAATTAACATAAATTAATTAGCTTTCACAAATCCAGCATCAGTAACTATATTATGAATTTTGACGTTAATTTCAAGTTAATCTAGATCCAATGCAAGAAAGAAGACTCAATTTTGTTTTAATGAACCAGATAAAACCAATTGTATGATCTCCAAAATAATTCTGGTTTCATTCCTAATCAATGTGAAGCAGCAGCTGCTGTTATTTCGCGTTCTAGGGACTCCGCCGCTTTTGCTTTCGCGTCTTCTACCGATAAAAAATGGATTCCTTTGACCGATTTGATCTCTGGGCGGAGGTAGAAGTCGAATGAAAACCGGGTCCGGCGAGTAAGATGGATGTTCGAAAGGGGTAACGTTTTTTATTAAGCCACTTCGTGGAAAGAGTGGAGTTTTTTAGTCGACTAACGCGCTTGATCATGTCCGATAGAAGATACGAACACGTCTATATTTGAATACGCGCCCACTTATATCCAATGAAGCGATCGATCCGAGCATTGTTACGTTTGACATGATGGTGTTGACACATTAGAGATTAGAACATGCGCTACCCATCTGTTTGTTCTCGATTTCAATCTTCCTAATATATATATGTAACTAAATAGGATTAAGAAGATGTATCAGGGTTCGTTTTTCTTTTGTGTGTTGGCTGTTTTTCTTTTAGGAAAATTCCGGACTGATACATATAAAAGCTATACCGCAGAAAAATCTAAATCTGTTTACGTATTAAAATTATATTATATTTATGTATTTGTTTACTTACTCATAAATTTGCTATTTTAACACTAAGATATTTAATTTAATACAAAATATTCAGATAATAATTACATTACGTTAAACTAAGTATGTTAGAAATTCAACACAAAAATTTCAACAAACATCAATTTTACTAGAATTCTTATTTTTATCAGAATAATTATATCGATCAAAATTCTAATTATCTCAACGAAAATTCTAGTATTTTCAAGAAAGTTTTGATTCACCCATTTTCCACCAGAATTATTATTTAATCCAACCAGATCGTTTTCTTAGTGCATATAATATTTTTTATTTTTAGGTGACTATTTCCAAATAAAAAAGATTCTATTGAATGACACAAATAAATACTAACCTGAAATTTTTTAAACAATATTTCATGCATTTAAATATTACAAAACTACAACAACTATATGAACAGAATTAAAACAATTATAATATATACGTCTGTCGTATATACGCCAGAATGCTTTTTTCTTTTTCAGAGGTTGTTCTGTGATATTAACTTTCTCACAGAGAATAAATATGATCAAAAAGCGCTTATAATAATAAACCAACCACAGATACAACGTAATAAAAAACACCGCGCTACGTTTTTGCGCAGTCCACATGCATTTTAGCTCGTCGCGGGATATAAAAATCGCCTACGCGATTCTCTCGTAGTAGATGAATAAACTTCATGACATCATCGTGCAAAGTGCTATGATAATTTGCTCCGATAACCACAATGAAGTTGCCGTGTCGATTTCTTTTTTATTCCTCTCTCTACTTCTTCCAGCTGTACTTTAACTCAGCATTAATCCCTCTCCCTTACCAGGTTCGCGACCGTTTCCCTGGCCCTTATATCCTTCAATGCTCCGCGATGGTTTCGCGGAATTTATTTCCGCTCGATTGCAGGCCGAGGAGCAGCAGCATCGCCGTCACTGTGAAGCCGTTCAAGATGAGGAGGACAAGAAAGCGGAAATCTATAATCACGTGACTGGAGATTTCCTCACCGAGGCTAGGGAACAGGCCGAGAGCACCCGCGGTCCGCACAAGCCGTTGACGGACCGATACAAGGGCATGACTACAGACGAGTTGAAGGTCTTCAGAGATGCTCAGATGCAACAAATGGAGGAGATTCATGTTAGTATGAGCGGAGGAATTACGCTTTAACGTATCACAATCCTATCAATCTACACTGAGAAAAAATTTAAATCTTAATATACATTTTTTCAATAGTATATATTAACATGTACTTTTAGTAAATAAATATTTACTAAAAAAATATGATACTTAAATCAAATTAATGGTTCTTGTACCAAATGAATGTACGTTTACATTTAGTAAATATTTAGTTAGTACTATTCAAATAAATATTTATTAAAATTCAATACATTTTTTCAGTGTAGTTTCTTTTAGCTGTTTTAATATAATGGAAGAAGTTAAAAAGGAGCCAATTCGAGTAAAATTTTATAAATCAGATATAATTTATACATATAAACGTATTGTAAATAACACTAACCAGTATACGCTGACAGTAGACAAAAATTATGTATACGTCATTGATTATAATTGACTTCACGGCTGATTCATAGTTACACGCATTATTAATATACATATGTTTAAAGTAAAGTTCTTTTATTTGATGCAATGATGTATTTCAAATATTCATCGCATCGGCCCTTATAAATCTACCCAGAGTTATTAACTTTAAGAATGCACGGAAACTCGTTTTTTATAGAAAATCAAATCGGAAGAGAAACGTATCAACGAGACTTGGGATCGCTTAATGGATTCGCACCTTCAAACTGCATACTCGTATGATCGCGAGTTAAATCAAAAAAAATCGTAAGATTCTAAAATAATTTAATATTTAATTCTTTTTATTTAAATATTAAAAAAAAATATATTTAAGTGTATTTTATATAACGAAATTATATTTAATGATTTATATTTTGAAAAAAAAACCATGATATTTTTTTTTAACTTGCTCTTAAAAGTTCTTCGATGGTAATCAATTTTTTTATATTCAATATTTGTACACGTAAACAACCCGTTAAATGTTACATTGTATTTATATTCCTCTAGGGAGCTCAATAAAAAAATTGCGGAGGAGAATTTGCGGCTTAGCAACAGAAGCAACATCAAGAATACCTGAACCGCTTCGTTTATAAGCATCAACCAACACCCGACTTCTATGAGCAGTTTAATAAAGGAACACGTTGAATGCAATCGCAATTTTTGCGTATAATGTACTTTTTAAAGGGAGAAAGATCAATGTAATGGTTACAGTATAGACTTGCATAACGCAAGATGCATGGTGTATAAGAGAATCGACCAATCAAAATTCTTATCCGTAAAATGGTCAGAAAAGAAGCATTCTGATTGATTATTTCGCTTATGCACTATAATGCGTTAAAAAACTTCAAATATAAGTAAAAAATAATTTTGTAGATATATTTTTGTCTTTCTCTTTTGTAGGTCGAGCCACCAAATCCTACTACACCGATGGAGTAGATGCGCATAGACTTTTCAGTTATCTACAAATACTTTATATACATATATATAGTTGTACAAAAATTATAATTAATAAAATATATTTTAATTTATAAATTAAAATTGAATTTATAATTAATGAATATAAAAGAATTCATTATTATCGAAGAATTTTTAAAGGAGCAAGTTAAAAAAATCATGATTTTTTCAAAATATACATCATTAAAAATAATCTTACACCTTTTACTTACACCTCTATGGGCAAAAATCGGCCTTTCTTTTTAATATCCTCCTTTATACTACAAAACATTTGTACTTGCATCAAAACAAATGCCAAATATTTTTACCGTGTAGAATCCCTTCGTATTTTTCATTTTTTCTAGCGTTACAAAGAAATTAGAAAGCAAAATTAACTCTTCAAAAATCTTATAAAAGATTTTCTAGATATTTGAAACATTATTATTATTCTATTATTTTTATACTTATTGAAGAAAATTGTAACTGTCGGTTTGTGATTATTTTTAGAGAAAAATTTACGCGGAAAATGGCGAAATATAATGGACTATTTAAAAAAAAAGAGGTAAAACGTGAGAAATCCCACAGGCCTGACAAAAACAGAAATATATATATTTCGATGAATTAAAAAAATTTCTCATGCCAACGGTGAAGAACGAAAGGTTAACTATCATAAGAAGCGACAAATTATCAATGATAATGCTAAACTTTGACCTTGTTTTAGTGTTCCCACGAACATTTTGTCGCGAAGGAAGGTGAGAGGGCGAGAACAATGCTGCAGGAGGATGCCCTGCCAGTCCTAGAGGAGTACCATTAAACACGGCGCGTACAAAGAGTGCCTGTTCGAATAATGATTCGAGACAGCTGTGCGAGCCCTTTGACAACGAAAAAGACAGTTTCCTGGGCAAGTATACTACTCGGTGGTTTGCCATTATCTTCTTAGAGGAGCTACGAGCGTACGAAAATTTTTCGATTCTGTCAAGGATCGAACCTGGGACCTCTAGTATAGCAGACCAGGGCTGCGCTCCGTTTCACGCATGATGCGCATGATGTATTATTTTATCTTTCTTTAATTCGGTGAACAACAAGGATAAAAGGATATGACATGCGGATCATGCGTGAAACGGAACGTACCTCAGGGCACCTATCATGGAACAAAGTCGGAATGGATTCCGATCGGAATTATTCCGTTTTCCACAGAAAAACACAATAGGAATCTAAGGAATAATTGAGTAATTCCGATTTTGTTCCGTGATAGATGTCCACTGCGCTGTCCGCCATAACAGCTCGCGCTCTTTTAATTTAACCTGTTTCAATATCTTCTTAAAGAGATTAATTATCTTTACATGTTTTAGTGGAAATTTCGACAGTGCAAATTTGGAACGTAAGTTGTTAGTCTAAGATTCTAACATTTAAAGGATATGCATATATAATATAGAAACTATTTCGTTTACTATGTTTTAACGTTTACAAGGTTTAAGTTCGACAAAGTACTTTGGTATTTTTTATTATGTAAGCATCGATAATTGTAGATATAGCATGTTCACGATACAATTAAAGTAATTGCACAAAAAATTTAAACTACAAATACATGTAAATCTAATGAGGACGCTATGTTGAAATAATCAATTATAAAATATTCTAGCATACTTAATATAAATTTTATACAAAGTAAATATGAATATAAATACTGCGTCTGTGATATAGTAAGGTCTACTTGATAACCAAAGAGACGAGGACGTCATACGTGTAACGCAATCTTATCATGTTAAGATGATTCAACTGAAATCAATTGAAATATATATCGCTTATCTTATTCTGCAAGTTTCTAATTCCCAGCTCTGCATTGTATTTTTATGACTGAATCTGCGCATATTTACGAGCATTATTGTGATATCATAAATTCAATGATATCAATATTGTACATTTTTATTGATTGGTCATCAAAATCTATATAAATTCTAATTTACCAATTATGATAACTTATCGACAGGGATTGAATATCAATAGAGCAACACATTTTTATATTACCGACATTGGATAATATCACAATAATATTAAAATAATGTTTTTGTTGTTAATCGCGATAAATTCAAATTTAATTTATAAATTAAAATATATTTTATTAGTTATAATTTTTGTACAACTATATATATAGAAAATATTTAATTGTAGTAACTAAAAAGTCTATAATGTGCTCATCTACTCTGTCGTTGTGGTAGGATTTAGTGGATAGATCTACAAAAGAGAAAGATAGAAATCTACGAAATTATTTTTTATTTATTTGAAGTTTTTTAACGCATAATGCATAGTGCATAAGCAAATCAACCAATCAAAATCCTTCCTTTCCAACCATTTTATGAAAAAGCAGAATTTTAATTGGTCGATTTGCTTATACACCATGCATTATGCATTATGCAAAAGTCTACACTGTAACTATTACATTAATCTTTCTCTCTTTAAAAAGTACATTGTACGCAAAAATTGCGATTGCATTCAACGTGTTCCTTTATTAAACTGCTCATAGAAGTCGGGTGTTGGTTGATGCTTATAAACGAAGCGGTTCAGGTATTCTTGATGTTGCTTCTGTTGCTCAGCAAGCCACAAATTCTTCTCCGCAATTTTTTTATTGACCTCCCTAGAGAAATACAAATATAATGTAGCATTTAAAGTGTTATTTACGTGTACAAATACTGAATATAAAAGAATTCATTAATATCGAAGAATTTTTAAAGGAGCAAGTTAAAAAATCACGGTTTTTATTCAAAATATATGTCATTAAAAATAATCTCGTTATATAAAATATACTTAAATATTTTTTAAATGATATTTAAAGAAGGAAATTAAATACGAAATTATTTTAGGATTTTACGATTTTTTTATATTTAATTTGCGATCATACGAATATGCGGTTTGAAGGTGCGAATCCATTAAGAGATCCCAAGACTCTTATATGCTTTTCTCTTCCTGAGAATTTCAACTGATTTTCTGTAAAAAACAAGTTTTCTCATATTCTTAAAATTAATAGCTCTGTGTAGATTTATAAAAGCCGATGAATATCTGAAATACATCAAATAAAGAAACTTTATTTTAAACACATGTATATTAATAATGCGTGTAATGAATCAGCCGTGATGTCGTCAATAATCAATGACGCATATACAGTTTTTGTGTACAGTTGTCGTATATTGTCATTTACAATTTAAAATGATTATATGTATAAATAATATCTGATTTGAATCAGATATTCAAGTAAAATTTTTACTCGAAATCGGAATCTTTTTAACATTTTATATTGAACAACTAAATAGAGCTATACTGAAAAAAATGTATTAAATTTTAATAAATATTTATTTGCTGACTAAATATTTATTAAATGTAAACGTACATTCATTTGGTATAAGAATCATTAATTTGATTTAACTATAATTTTTTTACTAAATATTTATTTACTATAAGTAAATGTTAATACTATTGAAAAAATGTATATTAAGATTTAAATTTTTTCTCAGTATAGATTGATAGGATTGTTGATACGTTTAAACGTAATTCCTCCGATCGTACTAACATGGATCTCCTCCATTTGTTGCAACTGAGCATTTCTGAAGACTTTCAACTCGTTTGTAGTCATGCCCTTGTATCGGTCCGTCAACGGCTTGTGCGGACCGCGGATAATACTATTGAAAAAATGTATATTAAGATTTAAATTTTTTCTCAGTGTAGATTGATAGGATTGTTGATACGTTAAAACGTAATTCCTCCGCTCATACTAACATGGATCTCCTCCATTTGTTGCAACTGAGCATTTCTGAAGACTTTCAACTCGTCTGTAGTCATGCCCTTGTATCGGTCCGTCAACGGCTTGTGCGGACCGTGGGTGCTCTCGGCCTGTTCCCTAGCCTCGGTAAGGAAATCTCCAGTCACGTGATTATAGATTTCCGCTTTCTTGTCCTCGTCATCTTGAACGGCTTCGCAGTGACCGCGATGCTGCTGTTGCTTCTCGGCTTGCAATTAATCGAGCCAGAATAAATTCCGCGAAACCATCGTGAAGCATTGAAGGATGTAAGGGCCAGGGAAGCGGTCGCGGAATCTGGTAAGAGAGAGGAATTAATGCTGAGTTAAAATACAGCGGAAGGAAGTAGAGGGAGGAATAAAAAGAAATCGATGGCAACTTTTTTATGGTTATCAGGGCAAATTATCATAGCATTTTGCACGATAATGTTATAAAATTTATTCATCGACCACGAAAGAATCGCGTAGGCGACTTTTATATCCCACGAAGTAGATGTGGACTGTGCAAAAACATAATGCGGTGTCTATTATTATGTATATCTGTATGTGGCCGATTTATTATTATAATTGCTTTTGATCATATTGATTCTCCTTGACAAAGTTAATATCCCAGAAACATTTGCAATCTCTGAAAAAGGAAAAAGCATCTTGGCAACGACGTAGCGTAAATTATAATTGTTTCAATTCTATTCAGTTCTAATATAGTTGTAGTTCTGTAATATTTAAATGCATGAAATTTTATTTAAAAAATTTTGGGTTAGTATTTATTTGTATCATTCAATTTTCTTCCCCTGGAAATAGTCACCTACTGCACTATAAAAAATATTTTATACACTCACACCGACGAAATACTATTAAAGACAGTCAGCGCTTATGGAAGTTTGCGTGACTGTTAAAATTTAAGTGATTAAGGTCCGGTTGCACCAACGTTACTTTGACTTTAAGCGTAACTTAAAACTCTCTCTGTCTCGTTTTAAAGCGAAAAAGAAACAGAGAGACTTACTTTGATTTTAAGCCTCACTTAAAATCAAAGTAAGTTGGTGCAATCGGGCTTAAGAGTAAGAAACTGATAATACGTGATTTATTGGTTTCATAGACATGTATATATGTTTAAAACTTAATAATACTAGTTTTTTATTTAAAACTGTGATTTTAATGTTATCCGAATTTGATTATCAATGGAAATGATAACTGCGCAAAAAAAATTGTAATTTTTCGGCAATATACATATTATATTAACCAGAATTCTGGTATTATTTTAAAATTCTAAAATTCTAGTAACCGAGCAATTCTGATTCGTCCATTTTTAATCAAAAAATTTTTCAATGTATCAGTGTTAAAACTGATGCTTGTTAAAATTTTTGACGAATTTTTAACATACTCAAGTGTTAATTCAAGATAATGTAATTATTATCTGAATATTTTGTATTAAATTGATATTTAATATCTCGGTGTTAAAATAACACAATTTATGAGTAAGTAAACAAATACATAAAAATAATATAATTTTAATACACAAATTCTAAGATAAATAGATAAAATCTTTTAATTTTACATATTATAAATGTTAATTTGATTAAAAAGTATATTCCTCCACAATTTGTTTCCAAATTGTGTCAAAATGTTGCATTTTGCGAGTTACAATTTATGTAAAATTTTTGCTACATTAGTTTAACATATTTATATTGTTTTAAATTAACACAAAAACTTGAGTGGACCATTTAGAACACGCGAAAGGTCAAATTCAACATGTATTTTTGTATTATATATATATTTTTGTTTTAAATAAACAATAATAAAGATGTTCTTTACGCCAAAATTTAAAATCAGTATTATTATTTACATACTGTACATTATTGATTGTTCTATAATTAATATTTATATTAATAAAATAACCTAAAGAACATTGAAACGTTTTATAAGACATCATTAAGACGTCCTAAAATTCATGAAACATTTTTTTGAAATATAAAATACAATGCGGAGCTGGGAAATAGGAACTTGCAGAATAAGACGTGCGACATATATTTCAATTGATTTCAGTTGAATCATCTTAATATATTAAGATATATATATATATCTTAATATATATATTATAAATATATATATATATATTTATCATATTACACGTATGACGTCCTCATCTCTTCGATTGTCAAATAGAGCTTAATATATCACAGACGCAGTATTTATATTCATATTTACTTTGTATAAAATTTATATTAAGTATCCTAGAATATTCTATAATCATGATTATTTCAACATAGCGTTCTCATTAGATTTACATATGTATGTGTAGTTTACATTTTTTGTGCAATTACCTTAATTATGTCGTGAACATACTATAATTATCGATGCTTACATAATAAAAAATAACAAAGTACTTTGCCGAGCGTAAACCTTGCAAAGTCACGTTAAGTCACAGTAAACGAAATAGTTTCTATATTATATATGCATATTCATTAAATTTTAGAATAAAATCTTAGACTAACAATTTCCATTCAAAATTTCCACTAGAACGTATAAAGATAATTAATGTCTCCAAGAAAATAGGCTCAAACAGGCTAAATCACGAGATATTTATAATGTAAATAAGTCGCTGCAAAAACTTTTTCTATTCACTGCACATTTTGATTATCTTCTCTTGCTAAAAAAAACCACGTACGCTGAACGGTTTATTTGTTGTCAGACGGGCGGAGCGCCATGGCCAGAACTTGCTGCATCTGTATCCTAACGTCCAGCTTTTTCTCCTCCGGCACCTGTCTGATGATTGGCAGCAGCGAGAGGAGAAACATCTTGTCGTAGTCATCCTCGTCGAGGGTAACGCGTTGACTGCTGTGCGAGGAGAGGATGTCATGTATTTCGTTGTCGAAGGGCGTGAAGGATGTCTCGCACAGCTGTTTCGAATAACGCGGGCACACCTTGTACGAGGGTGTACCCGTCTGAAGATACTCGCGGCTACCTGTTATAGAGGTACCTGTTATAGAGGCACCGCCGTGTGTAAGGGGATCGTACTCCTCGATCACAGGATTATCCACCTCGCCCTCGCTTTCCTCCGATTTGCAAGGAAGATTGATGCTCGTGGACATCCTAAAACAAGGTTAAAATAGCGTTATTATCGATCGTTTGTCGCTTCTGACGACAGTTGATACCTTTTGTTCTCCACTGTTGGCATGAGGAACAGTAATCGATCAAAGTACATGTATTTCTTCCGTTTTCGTCCAGCGGGCCCAGATTTGTGCGATTTCTGAAGTTTCAGCTCTTTCATAAAATAATCTCGTATATTCCTCCATTTTCCGCGTAAATTTTTTTCTAAAAATAATCATGAACCAACAGTTACAATTTTCTTCTATAAGATATAAAATAACAGAATAATAATGTTCATATATTTAGGGAATTTTTTATAAGATTTTTGAAAAGTTTATTTTGCTTCCCCTAATTTCTTCGTTAGCTAGAAAAAATGAAAAATATGAAGGGATTCTACACGGTAAAAATATTTTGCATTTGTTTTGATATAAGTACAAAAGTTTTGTAGTACAAATTTTTTGCTGGGTAGAGTTCCTTCGTGTTCTTCATTTTTTTAGTTAAAATTTTCTTGTTGAATTTTTAACATACTCGAATATTAATTTAATATATAATTATGTTATTTAAATATTTTGTTAAATTGATATTGAACATTTCTTACAATTAGTTAAAATGACGCAATTTATAAATAAGTGAACAAATAATAACAAATATATATTTAAATTTATATATATTTTTTTAACGGTAACTGAAAAAAATATGCTTTACTGAAAAAATATACTTCCACAATTTGTTTCCAAATTGTGTAAATGTTACATTTTTTGTATTAATTTTTATATAAAGTTTGTATTATTTGTGTAGTCATTCTGTGATGACTACACAAGTCAAATTAATGCAAAAATTTAAAACCGTTTGAACTATATAAAGTATGTTACATTTAACACAGATTTTACAATTGTGTAATTTTAACTATGTTCGTGTACACTGGGAGAAAAATTTTTGGTATTTATAGCTATACGTATAATTACATGTACACTCAAGTAGCATAGCAGTGCCTACAAAGCGCTAAAAAATATATACATGTTTTTAACGCTTTGTAGATGCTGTGTTATTTGGGAATTATTATAATTATAGTTATTACAACTATAAGTTTAATAATAATAACTATATGATGCAGTTCTATCAATAAATATATATAATTGGTATCGAAAATAATTACTTAATTATTATTATATATACCATAAAAATTATTACAATTACAATAATGTAACTATATTTTATAATCATTTTTTGGAATAATCATATAAAATACTGGTAGGCTTTAAAAATGACTATGAAAAAATATTATAATTTAATCCATACATATAGTTATTATTAACATTGTAGCAGTAATAACCATAATTTAATTATGATGGTCACAAATACTAAGAACTTTTTTCTCAGTGAACGAATTATGATTTTAAAAGGAACAATAATGTATCAAAGCATTTTTTTCATAAATATCTTTATCTCCTCTTCAGACCTGATTTTAATAGAACCATGTTAAATTTTTAATTTAATTTAAGGACATTTTAATAAGTAATTTATACTAAAAAAATTTTTTTAATTTTAACTATTTTTTCAACATGTACATTAGAATTTAATAAAAAAGCCTACATCAGAGCCCACATCAGCTGTTCGAATGCACAGAAAAACTTTATTTTCGTGTGAATATAACAAAATCCGTATATATTCAACCCTTCAGTTTGGGTCCTTATCTCAATATAACATATAAATCTAGATTACATATTTAACGCAAATTCCAAAAAGGTGATTCTTGACCATTTTAGCTCATTCTTCTTTATCCAAATGCCAAATTAGCTATGTAAAGTATAGCCAAATGATTATCAAAAATATATTAACTGATACAATAATAAAATAATAACTTACATAAATCAAAACGGAGTCAAATATATTGCATCAAAAAGTAGAATCACATCGCTCATCAAATTGTTAGATTTACTATGTAGTCATTCAAAAGAAAAAAAAACTAGAAAAACGAACAATTAGAGAATTATTAAAATAATTAATCTGAATTTTAATTTTATTAACTTACATGTAAGCGTTTCTTACGACTCGAAGTAAAGGTCTTGTGGTGTCAACAGTCATAGACGAAATGAGAGTCGAAATAATAAAGTCACGTAATTATTGAAATGAAAATAAAAATAACAATAAGAACAAAGGGGGGAAACAATGTCACGATTCCGCAAACAAATCCAAATATGGTGGGTCTAAAGTATACGTATCATTCTGTAAATTCAAATTTTGTTTCTGTTGCTTTATATGAATCATTTCCGAAATCAATCTTTTATTGAGCACCCTTTCCTCGTCTAATATCTTGACATTTTCCCAATCAAATTCATGCTGATGACTAATTCTATGTTCTGTTATTACGGAATGTTATCAAACTGAAGGGTTGAAACGTATATATGGATTTTATTATATTCACACGAAAATAAAGTTTTTCTGTGCCGAACGGCTGATGTAGGCTCTGATGGGCTTTTTTATTATATTTTATTGATAGATTCTTTCCTCATTTTATATATCTGTTGATGTACATTAGATTTCAAATAACGTCGATAGAACTAAATAATTTCAATGAATAATGTCTTCAGGTTAAATATACGTTACAATACATACAGAGTCTAAAGGAAGGGTCGACAGAAGTGATAAACCGACTCGTTTACACCTCATTTGTGATGCAGCTACATATTTGCACTCTAGAAGAAATATTTTGCCATGAAACTTGTTTTGGCTTATATTTTATGAAGCCTATTAAAGAGCCAAATTTTGCAATTTCGCTGTTAAAAACATTATAAAATGATATAGCTTCTTATTTACGATACAGAGATTCATGTTTTTATGATTATATTTTCTCTTCTAGAATATCACGTCATGAGACCTTTTTGGTTTTTTTTTTTTTTTTTTGAAGCTATGAAAACGCGTACAAAACCGGATTTTCCAAATTAATTCTTGAAAAGTTTTAATAAATAAAATTATATGCACCTTAAGTGCATTATAGTACACATCAGGAAATATCGTAATGAATTTTTATTTTGCTTCTTTTCCTCAAAAAAATCACTCTGTATGAGCCTTCAGGTGACCTTCCTGATCACGAATACGCAATTAAAACGCTATATTCATGTAATATTTTAGTTATAATTTCAGCATAAAGAAATTCATTTCCGTCTTCATAAGGCCTATTTTTTTTAGCTGAACTTCTTGCACGATTCACCTTTTCTTTTTTCTTTCCAACATGGAGAAAACAAGAAGAATGAACTGTGCAAGAACTTTAGCTAAAAAGAATAGACCTATTGTCTATTCTGTCAATCCTCAAAGTAAAAATTTAATAAAACACTATATAACAACGCCATCTAATTAATATATCAAAACCACACTGCGTTTTCCCTCCATTTTCTTTATCAAAACTAGAAACCACGTGGAGACGTCTTTGTCCAAACCTTTCCCACTTAGAACATCTTTTTTAAATCTTTTTTAAAAACCTCTTCAATGAAATAGCTCTATTATTCGATCGCGCGGAAAATATCGATTCGCGACAGTTCTAAGTTTCTGGATTTCCGCTGCAATTCAGTGTTTCGGTTGCTGAAGGAATTCGGATCGATCAATCGTGGTGCAGCCATGCCAATTGCCATATACCTTCGACGTTTCTCTCCTCGTCCGTCAAGCGCGCCCAATTCGGTACCATCACCTGGCAGACCTCGTCCCACGCGGTCATCTTGGCGTTACGGTCGTTGTACTCGCCGCGATTCACATCGTAGATCGCCGGCCGC